GGTGGCTGCCTTCCAGCGGCGGGCAGAGCGCTCCCGGCGCGTGTTGCTGAGCGGCCCCTTACCAGCGAAGGTCATCAGCACGTCGCAGTTCTCGGTGGGCACCGTCTTCATCCAGGATTTGTGGGACATGATGTAACGCCCGGCCTGGAGCAGCCGCTTCCCGAAAAGCTTGTCTGCCAAGGGAACCAGAACAAGGGGGTCAGGGCGCGGCAGCGAAGAAACTGGGCTGGAAATAGATGCAGGGGACATTGATCCCTCCAGGGGATGGGGGAAGGGTGAGGCGGTCCCAGGAGGAGGGGGCGACGGGGTGGGGGCAGACTGGGAGGCCAGAGGCCGGGAGCCCTGGCTTGTCAAAGCAAAGAGGGGTCTGGGCGGCTCTACACTGAGCCGGGGCTGGAGCTGGGCCTCACCCTCAGGGCATGTGACCGGCATTGCTTAGACTGAGCCACAGAGTCTTGGCCGGATGGGGCCATGCCGGGGTGGGGACGAGCTGCTGGCAGCTGGCCAGGGCTGAGGGCTAGCACATAATCCACAGCACAACACCCCAAGATACAACACAGCTTGCACACAAATCATGACACAGGCATGACATGCATGAGACACACAAAACACACATTTACCCCCTCGACACCTTACACAATACGTGCCCAAGATACACCCCCACACACACACACACGTGTGCACCAGGTCACCCCAAACCCAACCAGAGCCATCCTCACACAAAGACACCCGGGGACTCTCGCACATGGATCACCAGCCCCCGGATCAGTCTGGGCCCAAGAGTGGGACTGTCTTCAGAGGGCAACTGGAGGCCAGAGAAGGGAAACTGAGGCATGGCTGTGCCCTGATGGGGAGAAGTAAGCCAGACGCCTGTGGTTTGCCTTCATCCTGTCCCTGCATAGCCGCCTCCTCATTGTAGGAGTCGCTCCAGGCAGAGGCAGGGCTGTCTCTTGGTTCTGGGTTGTACAGTGCCTAGCACCTGCTCCGTGACTTGGGTTCCTAGGCCCTACCACAATACAAATACCTAATAGACTTTCTCGTCTCCTGTCTCTGCCCCCCCCCCGCCCCCCCTCCACACACACACTTCCGTTCTGCCCTTTCGGAGATGATGGGACCAGCAGTCCGGGTCAGGGGACCCCAATGATGGGGGTGGAGGTTGTATAATGGCATGATCACATTCTCCTCTGTCCCGTTCCTCATGCACTGAGCAGCTGCAGCCAGTGCAGGACCCAGCAAGGCGTCAGCGTAGCTCAGAGGATTCCTGCCAACGGGCAATGCCCTGTGCTCGCCCAGGGCCGGACTCCTCTGCCGTCAGCGGGCTGCCCGTTCCCCTAGCTCAGCCGGGTTCCTCAGTCTCCTCCAGACGTGACACGTGGCCTCTTGTCTAGAGTCGCTAGGCGGCCGAGTCAGCAGGCTCCAGGGGTTTCCTCTTGCATCTTTCCCTGTTCACGGCCACCTGTTCTGTCTCTTCAAAGCCTCATGCCGGGGGCGCTTCCATCAGAACAGATGAGCCAGAGCTGCTGGCGCTCGGTGGAGGGGATTATCTGGGGATCAAAGCCAGCCCTGGAGGGGGCAGCTCCCACTTATTCCCCTTCCATTGAGCGGGCACCCCCCCGAAGGTCTCCGCTGAAATCCCATCTCTGCAGCGGGATACGGGGGTCTCTCCCCAGGAAGGCAGGTTCTTCCCTTCCCATCCACTTGTGCAGCTGCCGGCCTGCAGGCAACCCGGGCCAGACTCTCCTGGGTTTCCCCGGCTGTTCCTGACGGAGGTGGCAGGTGGCGGCTGGGAACCCTGCTTTGTGAAACGGGGCTGGCGCGGGCTGCAGCATGACGTCCCCATTCCCGGCAGGCCGGTCGCTGGGCTGGCAGCTTGGCCAGGTGATCCGGCACCAGCAGAGACTGGCCAGATCCTCTCCCCCAGATCAGCATGCATGCGGCTGGAACCCGCGGCTCCGGGGGCTGCCTGCAGACCCCGACTGCCCGGAGAGCTGCAGGGGCTCTGGGTCTGGGCCTAGCACAGGGGGTGGCTGGAAGGGACCGTGCAGGGCTCTGAGTCCATGGCCCCCTCTCCACTCGTCCGCAGCTGTCCCCCAACGTGCCAGCTGGACGGAGACACCCCGGGTCAGTCAGCCTGGCACAGAGCCAGAGAACGATTTCCCCCTCTCTCAGCCATTGGCCAGCCTGTCCTACGCTCGCCTCTGCCCGGGCTCGGTTCCTCCCCTGGTGGCTGGGCCGGGCTCCCTGGCAGCTGCCCAGAGAGGAGCTGGACTGGCAAACGCTCCGTGTTCATCGAGGGACGGCGAGTGCCCCCGAGCCAGGGTCAGCCCAGAGGCGGAACAGACCTGGGGCTGGGCACCCTCCGGGCACGTGGCAGCACCAAATCCTGCCCCACCCCCAGTCAAACAGCCCCATTTCCCAGCCTGCCCCCTCACTCCATCATCCCAGCCTGCTGGAGCCATGAAGCTCCATGCTACACCCCCCTTCCCCAGCCCACCTGTGTGTCCTCTCCCACCCCCCATCCCCTCGCTTCTCCCACCAGCTTCTTACCTACGGCCCTCCCCAGTGCCTGGGCCCACGGCAGAGCCGCCCCCTCCTCAGCCGCAGCGGGGGGCCTGCCGCAGCCCCTGCCTGGAAACACTCGCTCGGGAAGCCGGGAAGATAGGGGAACTGACAGGAGAAAAAGCAACCCGTCTCTATGGAAACCTGCGCAGGCCCCACGCCGCAGCCCCCATGGGAGCAGGGGGCCGGTCCCTGTTTCCTTCCAGCCGGTCGCTTCCCTACGGCTCTTCCTTTTCATCCTGGTCATCTCCCCGTTTGCTTAGCCAGGAAACCCCGACTTCAGGGCAAATTTGCTTCTTCGGGTGCCGCTCTAAGCCGCCCTGGCAAGGGGACGACGGCTGGACAGCACAAGCCAAAAATCCCTCCCTTAATTTTCCCCTGCTGCCTTCCAAGGCCTCTGGCTCCTGCCCCACCAGCTCCCCCTGGAGTAGGGGTCTGGGCCCCCCTCTTTGGGCAGGCAGGACGTCCTTGGCTCCCTGCCTGGCTGGGAGAAGCGGCCCTGGCATACAGAGCCCTGTGCTGGGCTTTTCTGCGCTCAAAGGTGCCCCTGGCTTGCGCGCCCTTCTCCACTTGTGCATCCACAAGCCCCCTCCCCAACTTTGGGCACACCGCATGCCCCTTGCACCTTCCGATGGCTCCCTCCCACCCCCATCACGCCCGTCCTCGCTGCAATTAAATGCCACGAAACCGCAGCAATGGCACCCAGAAAGCGGAGATCCCCGGAGGGGCCCCAGACGGAGCTCACCGCCCCTGCCCCTGCCCCTGGGGGGTGGGCACTACAGACACACACCAAGGCCCGATCCTGCACCAGACTGTGTTCCCTCATCTCCCATCAGTGCCAGGGGGAGACCAGGGCCCCCAGCACCTTGCAGGATCAGGCCCGTGGACCAGGACCTCTTTGGGGTAGGAGAAGCTGCCCCTTGCTGGGAGCAGTGGCCCAAACTGCCCCGATGTTTCAATCCCCCTCCCGCCCCTAAAGCCATGGAGCACAGAACAGATG